TAATAATAATAATAATAATAATAATAATAATAATAATAATAATAATAATAATAATAATAATAATAATAATAATAATAATAATAATAATAATTGAAAATATTATAGAAAAAACAAGAAAATGTAGAAATTCAGAGTGGTTTTTATTACAAATGAAAATTTCAGGGCGTCTTTGTAATTTATCCTATTATTTTATTTATGTTATGAACATGTATTTTTTTCTTTGATAAAAAGGGACAGTATTGAATTTGTGAGGAATTGTTTCTGGTACATTGGATTGGGACGAAGCGGGTTACGTCCTCTACAATGACTTCTATTTTTTCTATCATTAATAAAGTATTAATATGGCCGCCCTGGAATAAAGTTTGGATTAAAAACCGCTTATAAAATGAATGCATGGGGTCAAACACCCGCTTTCTTTCTAAAGCTTGGAGAGGCAAGTAGGTTCTGTTTTTATTTGTATAAAGTTTTGGGGAAATTCTTGATTAGTACCTGTACTTTGGGCTTAATGGTACTTTAGTTTTTAAATTTTAAAATGTAATAATTTTGTGTCTTAACTTTTAAAATGTGCCAATCCAGTATCAGTTGTTAAGTGGTGTTTGAAAATATATAAATGTCTTTTGAGTGTCATCTAATTCTTTTTATCAACCATCCAAATATTAATAAAAAATGAATAATTATAAAGGGCATTTTTGTCTTTTCAACTGTCAATTAACGGTTTTGAAAATTAGGATAGGCATTTGCCAAATGAAATCTATTTTTTATATAAAACAAATAGAATCTTATCATCTTATAATCTTTTCCTTTTCATGCTTTTAATCATTACCATTACAAATTTAATTAATTACAAGATGCCATTCAATAAAACAAAAAAAAATCATAATTTGTCCTTTCTCCTTTTCTTCTTTCATATTTGATACTAAATATGTAATTATTTACAATGGTGCCACTGTTAAATATTTACGATGATGCCATTAAACTTATAACCTTTTGATATTTTTTAAAACTTGCCTTTATCTCTCATTTTATTTACAATTGGGTTGTGTTGGGCTATGCCGTGTGGGTCATGCTTCCCTCCCTTGGAATACTATAGGGGGTCAACTCGACACAACCCTCGACCCGAGCCCGCGTAGGCTTATGTCGTGCTACAGGCTGAGCTAGTCCGTTGGCCAAGCCTTAGGCTAGGTTGGGCCACAAACCAGGCTAATCCATATTTTTTAAAAATCTTGAAAAAATAATGAAAAAATTAGTATAAATTAAAAAAAAAGATAAACATTAAAAATATCTTAACATTTTTTATATGAATTTTGATGTATACAATTGTTTATATATGCAACAATAAAATTGGAAATAAAATTATATATTATATAATTATTGTATATAATATATGGCCCGAGCCCGTGTGAGTTTGTGTCGTGCTGTGGGCCAAGTCTTAGGCCAGACCAAGCCACGAATTGGGCTAAGCCTTGTTTTTTGAAAATAATGAAAAATTAATATAAATTAAAATAAATAGACAAAAAATTAAAAAGATCTTAAAATTTTATTCTATATGAACTTTGATGTATACAATTGAAAATTATACATATTAATATACTATATAATTATCGGGCCACAAACCGGGCTAAGCCATGTTTTATGAATTAAAAAATAGATAAAAAATTAAGGAATTTCTTGAGATTTTATTTTAGCCCAAGCCCGCATGGGCCCATGCTGTGCCATGGGCCAGGCTGGTTCGCGTGCTAAGTCTTAGGCCATGTCGGGCCAAGAATTGAGCTAAACCTATTCATTAAGTATGCAAACAGATCGGATTGGATTTAGATTAGGGTATATTCAAATTTGATTTGGCAATGTTCATGTCAGATTTGATTCAATCCAAAGATTTGATCGGATCTGATAGGACTTGATTTGAATTGGAATCCTATTGGTAAGTCGAATCTTCGGATCTGATCCGATCTGACTTGTTTTCTTTAAAAATTAATAAATTATTAAAAATAAAATAAAATATACTAATTTAAATAAAGTAAAAACTTAAAATACAAGTAATTTTTAATTATTTTTATCATATATATGCATGCTTTTTATAAAAAATAAATAATACAACAAATTTATAAGTAAATAAATAATATATATATATATATATATGTATTTCTTTTATATATTTATGTTTATAAATATATAACATAATCGTATTAGGTATTCTTGGATCAGGGGAATCCGGATCCAATCCAAAGATCCAAATAGAGGTGATCTGAATTCCACCAAATTGGATTGGATTGGATCATTGATCCGATCCATTTGCACCCTTACTGTGGTCCATGGGCTTGGTAGCCTAGTAGTTCAGCCTGACCCATTAACAACGCTAAATTAATTAATTAAATAATATTATATAGTCTTTTACCAACCTTGTGTTGGTAATATATAAAATTTTATTTATTTATTCACTTATGTTACTAAATTATTTAATTAGTTAATAATTTAATAATCTAACAAATTATTATTGCTAGCAAAGTAAGACATAGAATTGTATATATATTTATATATATTTACTCTCTCACTTTATTGTCTATTTATCTTATTTATTTTATAAAGTTATTTTTTATTAAATTAAATTAACTATTATTTAATTATTTACAATTATTCCAGTATATAAAACAAAAATACAATAACAAAAGTGATCTCTCCCTCTTCCACTCTATTGCCCGTTGGTGATTATTTATTTATTGTTTTATTTTATTAAATAAATATATTATTATGCATAAATTTTTATATATTTTTTCCGATAAACTTTTAATTAAAAGAATTTACCTTTCCTATATAATAATTTACCTCGCTAGTGTTAAGGGAAAAAAATTCGGAGATGTCAAAGCATAGAGGAGATTTTTGTGCTTTTCAAAAAGTATAGAAGAGATTTTTTGTTGTAAAACGCAGGAAAAGTTTTAGGTAATTTATCCGATACTTTCGAGTGGGTCCGGCGACTACGGCCTTTTTGGGTTGGGGTTTCTTTCATCGAGTCATCCAGATGCAGGAGAGAATCACGGAAATTTCCAATTTACCAAACAGGGGACCCTCCTCTTCCTGGGTTCAAGCTCCCACCCCAATCCATCGCTTCAGGAGGGAAGCCATGAAAGACCTGAGTTTCAATCAATGAAGCTTCTGCTTCCCTACATTATTTAAAGAGCAAATACTTCCCTTGAAAAAGGATCCTACCACATGTCGCCATCAAAACATGACAGCACAAACCTTCCGAGAATCCCTCAGGACGTAAACGCGTAACCGCACCACGTGTCTGGGGCTAACACGGTTTCAGAGTTCAGACTCGATTTATTCTCTCTATGAGGAGTCTTATAAATGGCGGACCATTGATCACAGATCACGTCAAGGTTCCTGTCAGTTCAGTTCACCTGCTTTGCAAAAAGCAATGGAAACAATTACCCTTCGTTCTCCTCTGCTCCCCCCACCCCCACGGCCGGATTCAATCAAGCCCCGGCACCGGAAATCGGCCAACTATGACCATCAGAACAAGAAGTCAGTCAGAGTCTTTGCCGGGAAAAGAGATGCCTACAACCGGGACTACAATGGCCGCCTTGTCGATGAAAACATGATCGTTCTACGAAAGCGCATACACGAGACGAAGATGATAGAACGGAACTACGAGCCTCCTTCCGACTGGATGGAGTGGGAGAAGCGGTACTACGTGAAATACGACTCGGATATCTGTGAAGCAATGAGGCTTCTGCAAACCCAGCTGATGAATACTAGGCCAAGCTTGGCTTTGGGGATGATGGCTATGGTTACACTGAGCGTTCCCTTATCCACGGCTGTGACCTTGTCTCATCTCTTTGAGATAACCAAATGCTTTCTATCTGGGCTTCACCTTAACTGACAATCTGACATGCATGATATCAGCTTGGTTGATCAGTGTATAAGGATAGATAGATATTAAGATACAAATACATACAATACTAGAGCAAAGAAATTAATGAAGTTAGGCTGCTTTCTTCCTCCTCTTCATATTATTGTTTAATTAGAATTTTTTTTTTCTCACTGTTGGGTCTGTTAATACTGCACCATACCATTTAGCAGTCCGGATGTGCTGGAGACAAAATAATACACACCCGGCTGAACTACCTATCACATTTGAACACACCGTGATAGGTAATTCAGCTGGATGTGTATGTTTTTGTCTCCAGCTAATCCTCCCCACCATTTAGAAGGAAAAACATGGATTAAACAGAAATCTGGGTGTATATGTTATTGTCTCCAGCTAATCCTAAACATGGATTAAACAGAAATCTGGGGAAGTTGGTTTGTCCTTGATATATTTTCTAGGCCAAAAACCCAGGATGATCAGTTAACCAATTATCATCAGATTATGCTATTATATGTAATTATCTTTTTGCCTAGTTTGTTTACCGGGGGGACTGAAACTATATATTTAATTGATGGTGGGGTTTTGTCCTTTAGGAAAAAATGGCCATGAACCCTTGACTAGTAGGAATTGTATCATTTAGTCCTATTTGAGGGATCCTAAGTCCTAACAAATAATAATTCCTTTATGTGTTGAACAATATAGGACCAAAGTGCCCCTTATTCAAACATATTGGGACCATTATTGCTTGTGTAGGCCCATCCGCCCATGGGTTACCTTTTCCTTTAATCTAGCTACAAGGAAAAAATGGGTTCCTTAATCTGTAAGGACGAGAGGTATCTTGTATATCATGAGTTTTAAATTTTAATATAAAAGTTGCCCATATGATTTGCCTTCTTTCCTTATTGGATACTTGTTTTTTTTTTGGCATTTCCATGCGAGATGATCTGAATTGTTTTCACTTATTAATGGCATTCAGTGTTCAAATCGGATCCAAGTGCCAAGATCCAATTCAAATTCGAATATTAATAAATAAAATTTAGATCTAGGTATTTGCAACCGTACAAGTGAAAAAATGTGTTGGAGATTGGCCTTACAAAGTGCTAGCTTAGAAACTTCCAAGTATCTTCCAAAGCATGTAGCTTGGGTGCCCACAAGTACATCAATTTCATGTTGATGGGATATATAATTAATCACAAGTAAACACGCCAGTATTTTCTCTACATAGGATCCATATATATATATATATTTACGCTAAATCCAGATCAAATTCCATAAACCATCACAATCCTCACGTCTCTTTCAATAACTGCTCCATGTGATATGTGATTTGATTGATTGATATCTATGTGCTTAATAATAGGATACTATTTGATGCAAGCGCGTGGAAGTTGAATAAATTGCTTTCATCTGTAGCTGTCCCTTGTACATGCAATTAAAGTAGGTAAGAAGACCTTAATTTGTACTGAATAGATTGGAAAGTAGTATGGGTGCAATTTGGGTGGGCTTGGGTTTTTTTTGTCAAATTTTGAATTGGGCTGGCCCAAACGCGCAAGTCTAAAACAGTGTAAAATATAAACTTGATTCATCCTGAGTTTCACCCAGGGGTGTTAATGGACCGGTTTTGGGTTGAATATAATTCGACCCATACCTTATTAAATTGGATTTGGATGATCCGTTATAATAATTTGATTGGGCCAATCCAAAATAAATTGGTTCATATATATATTTTTATCATCTTGAATCGGGTCTAAACCAAATTTTCAATCATCCGATCATGAGGCTAAACCATTGTCTAATTTGAAACTGATCAAAATTGAAACTGGCATTAAAAACACTTTTATGAAAGTACTTTTACATAAAATCACTTTTATAAAAGCAATTTTATAAAATTATTTTTATAAACACTTTGGATTGGATTAGATCAAATCTGATCTATTTGCATTTTAAGAGTAGATGGGATTGCAGCAAGTGTTGTAGGTTATATATATATATATATATATATATATATATATATATATATATATTCTGGATTTCTCATGTTATTTTGGTTTATGATTCAATTTGAACTGAATTGAATCCGATCCGATTCATTTGCATTTTATTTGGACTGGATTAAACTTGATTTTATGGATTTAAATTGAACTTGATATTATAAATGGACCAATATTGAAATGGATCGGATTGAACCAAATCCAATCCAATTGACAGCCCTAATTGCACCCCTAAAAAGTATTACTTAATTGAAATTGATTAGAAGTCCGAAGGCTTGCCTGTTTAGCTGTTAGAGTGTTCCCTATACGTGGCACGTTACCATAAGTATTGGGTAAAAGAGTAATTTTAATCAATATTCTTTTAATGATGGGAGAGAGAAACAAGGGACTGAATGTCCAAGAATATCATAGGCTGTTTGTTAGAAGCAGTACCCATCTCATTGTATGGAGTTGGGACCTGACTAAAACTAGAATCTGCAAATATAATAGGGTCTGGCCCGGCTGGGTATATGGATTCGACTCTGACTTAATAGTACATATTCCTATCAATATTTTTTAGTATTGTTAGTATGATAAAGAAAAATTATTTTTATTAATAATAAAATTATAAAAAACATAAGTAATTAACATATGACTTGTTATCTATTCAGTGGTTCAACCGTTCAGCTAATTAGCTGGGTGACTAGGTTTGTTGACTGAGTCAACAGATTTTTAAAACACAGCCACAGACAGTTATATACTTAAATGGTGAAACCACCCAAAATTCTGACCAAATGATGGGTCAACCAATTTAATCGACTGGTTCAACCGTGGTTTGAATTCTGGATTCTTTCACAACGTAAAAAAACATTAAAACAGATGAAATGCTAAGGGTTTGTTTGGCTCACAATTAGAAATGGAATCAGAATTGAAATCTTTTAGAATCAGAATGGTTCAGTTTCATAGTCTGTTTGATTCAGACAGAAATGGGAATAGGAATTAGAATCAACAGAAATGAGATTTTATTCCCAAAAGAGAAAGAGGGAATCATTGACCATTCCCTGATAAAATGCTATTCCACTAGGAATGAGAATAGAATTCCAATTCCAGCCAATCAAAGAGTTAGACTCAGAATGCCCATTCGGATTGATTCCAGACCCTTATTCGTGCGATCCAAACGGAGCTTAAATGTTTTTTATTTATTTTATTTTATATTTTGCATCCAAATCATCTATTGATTGCTGAGTTGTTAATCAACACATGCCAAAATTTTAGGTGAAACCTTCCAAGTATTCTTCAACAGAAAAAAAGATGGTTTGCTAAACCACGTTTCGGCTCTAAACACGGTTCGTATCACAATCCGACAATCCGTTCTAAATCTTAAGATTCGACTTCTTCCTTCTAAGGTTTCTTTTCTCGTCCCACAATCCTATAACGTCAAGGTTAATCCACATCTCAAATCTTCAGCGCAAAGCAATGGAAACAGTTTGTCTTCGTTCCTCTTTTCTTCCCATACAACCATCCTCAGCCAAGCTCCGTCATCGGAAAATCAGCACCACCGAACATACGAAGAGATATTCCAGCAGCAAAGTCATTGCCGGAACTGGAAGAGATGCTCACAACCGGCCGGAGTTTGACGGCCGAGTTGTGGATGAAAACATGATAGTTCTGCGAAAGCGCATTCAGGAGATGAAAATGGTAAAACAGAAAAACGAGCCGCTTTCAGAGTGGATGGATTGGGAGAAGCAGTATTACGCGAATTACCTCCGAGATATCTTTGAAGCAGTAGGGTTGTTGCAGAGTCAGCTGATGAATGCTAGGCCAAGCCTTGGGTTGGGGATGATGACTCTTGTAACATTGAGCGTCCTTGTATCCACAACTCTGGCCTTGTTTCAATTTATGGAGATAGCTAAATGGGCTCTGTTCGGGCTTCATCACCTTCTTATCAGTACGATTACGATGAATTGAGTTTGGGTGTTACTGTACATACACAGATATAAACCTTGTATTTGCATCGTATATATTTGTATTCCTGTGTGTATGTACACGTTGCTTCTTTAATTCTCTCAATTAAAATCATTGTTAGAAAAGAAATTTGCGCAATTTGATCTGTTTTTTTTCCACTTAATTATTAATTTGTTAAAATTTTCCTTCTTATTCTCTCGATATGAGATGTAAATGCATATGCATATATATAACCCATCACGAGTGAACAAGCCGGTGTTCCATATACACAAAGACCCACATGAAATTCACATATGGCATTTGGGTGTACGTTGTAAATGCATTTCTCTAGAGTTGAGATCTATTTACCACAGTACATTAATTGCTGGCCACGTTCATCCAGCTGCACATTTGAAAGATAGATTGTATTTTACATCGCTGCTGGTATTTTCGAAGTGCAACTGGATGAGAGTGACTTACAATGTATTGTGGTCAGCAAATTCGGACTCATTCATGTATAACTAGTTATATGACCAATACAACTGAACAGTAAGCTCTCAGTGTTCCATACACACAAGACTCACGCATAATCAATTATGAATGAATACAACATTGTTCTGTGCACACACACACACGAAATCTACATCTATAATCCAAATCACTTGTGAACATGCCAGTCTTATAGACATCCACATGTAACCAATCAAGAAAGAACATAGCCAAAGTTTTATAGATATGGGACCTATATGGGTCCATGCCATATATAGATTCCACGTGTCATTGACGTGTTACTGCTCGTGACACGTTAATGCTCGCACTGCAGGTGTGGAAAGGGTATTATGACTTGCCTCTTGCTTGTCGTCCACGACTCCACTTATGAGGCTTGGCTGAATTGTTGAACGAAATCAATTGTAGGGCCCACCGGCTATTATGACGTGTTACCGCTCGGCATGTTTTTCAGTGCGATCCATCGGCTATTTAAAAGCCCGACAGATTGTGTCATTGTCTTATTCCGTTTGATTCAACGTCCAAAACCTGTTTTCGGCTATTTTTGGAAAGATCTAAATGGAATTCAATTCGTTTTCGTGTGAAAAGATATGATTTAATTAAATGGTATTCAGCTATAATTACATTTTTTAACTATCAAATTAAGTTCGAAAGATCTTTCAATAAAAACTTGCCAAATGACCTCTACATATTTGAAGACTGAATTCGAATTGGGATCT